ATCAGGTAAAAGTTTGTTCTTACCTGTAAGTCCTTAGAGGAATTTGGAAAATATTGACTAAGGGGAAAATCCTCAAATTCAAGGTTCCTATTAAAAGAAATATGAGCCATTAAAATTACCCAGCTGATTCATTCCGGTCATAAGAAAAGTTACATCCCAAATCGGGCAAATCTGGATTCAAATCTCATGCTCCGACTTACCTGCTGTGAGGCTGTGGATAAGATCTCACACTCCTCTGACCCTCAGTTTCCTCACCCGTAGACAAGAGACAATAACACCCACGCTGCAGGTGGGGTGAGGATTTATCCAAAAATACCTAGCAGGCCCCCCGCCCCCCGCAGCAGATGGTAACATCCAGTGTGCGTAAAGGCTGTTTGCCAGGGCACGCTAGTTACCCTCCTTTATTTGTTCTAATTTCTCTACTCCCGGACCAAACCAGGCCTCCGTAGGCTCTGCCAGCACCCAATGTGACATCGGGCCTGTCATACGGCCTCCCCAGGCCTCCACGTCCTCACTGATAGGAACGCAGTTTTGACCCCTGACTTCGACAGGAGGTGAAGTGAAGAGGCAGTGAAGTATTAAATGTGGAAGTACTTCGAAACGTTCAGGGTACTTAATAAATGCGAGGTGCCGCATGACAGGCCATTCGGATCTACTTTGGAACTTGGAGCAGTCAGAAAAGTTGAGGGTCTGACACAAGGGGTTAGAGCATCTGCCCAGGATTCGGGAGGGACATTTTCCGAGGGCCTGAGGGCCTTGCATTTCATTCTGCTGTCCCCCGTGCTGGCATGTGTTGGCTGTACCTGCTTTGCTTCTCCGCCCTCAGGACGGCAATGGGTACATAGACGAAAACGAGCTCGATGCTTTACTGAAGGACCTGTGTGAGAAGAATAAACAGGTAATTAGTCACCACTTCACTTACTTCCGAAACAGACTTTGCAGACCTCCAGAAGCAACCACACGCCCCTTTTCGGAAATCCACCTTAAACGTTTGTCGAGGGACAAAGGTAGATTTCAGCTTTTCGCCTGATTTGGCACTGGCCAGAATCAGTGCGGCTAGGATCAGTTGTGATTACTCATGTTTGTGTGAGAATGTCACCCAGCTCTTCTCTTAATGGATTGATGGAACGAGCAGTTTCTATGTCATGTTTTGTCACTTGGCAGTGCTTACCTAGCCTCCATATCTAACTGGCCCACAATGCCGTCTGTGTTCTGCGCAGGATCTGGACACCAACAATATCCCCACCTACAAGAAGAGCATCATGGCCTTGTCGGACGGGGGGAAGCTGTACCGGACGGACCTGGCTCTCATTCTCTGTGCCGAGGACAACTAGAGTTGGTGACCATGGCCACGCACTAGCGATACACCGTATCTAAAAAGTAACTGTGCACTATAAGGGAGTAGGCTGTGTTTTCTTTTATATCTGTACATTTAACTGCGTATAGGTAACTGTCCAGGGTGTGCGGCACGATCTTTTTGGCTTGTTTCTATACTGTTTGTAATGTACAGTTTTTGTAACCACATGACTGAAAAGGAGATCGTCTATCTGTAGGCCAATCAACACGCCTAATTAAAAATGTAACATAACATAACATAGTCTCGCTTTCATAAACGTAGCTGGACAAGATTTCCCTAAAAATTTCACCGGGATTAATCTAAAATTCCAGTCTCTGATATGTAAATGTACATTTTTCACCGGTTCAAACCGATCTGACCCCAAGGAAAGACAGTGCCAGATGACATGTAAAGCCGTCTAGGTCTGTAGTGCCAACACGCCCACTGTCAGAGTATGACCCCAACCCATTTTCTAAACTGTTTCCACGTGTTGTAGATTATAATTATTCTAGCAACCTGCTGTTTTTATGTTTTATTCTGTGTAATCTCTGATTAAATTATATAGATCGAGTTTCGTGGTGTCTGGTTTGCATACTTCCTGGATTTCTTTCCATGTAGAACTGTTCATTCCCACCAAGCGTATCTGCTGCCTCCCAAAATATTTTTTTCTAGCTATAACAACTCTATTTTTTACTACATAAGTGAATTTAATGTAAAATTCATAGCACCCTGATCGCCAAATGTTTTATCATCAATAATTTTGTGTATGTATTGTCAGTTCTACATTTCATATTGAGATTGGTACTTAAAATAGTTGTTTCTATCTGCAAATAGTTTCAAATGAGTTAAAAATAACATTCACAAAATGCTAACGTAATCGTTTATCTTATTTATCAAGGGAAATTCTCATTCTTTTGACTCCCACCCAAGTCACAGTTCATCTCTTTGTAGCTAGACTAGCCAATTCAGGTTTCAGGGGACACGTGCTGGTTGGTGATTTCTAATTTTCTGATTGTGAAGCAGGAAGCTATGGGAGCTATATCTGTGTGGAATTTATCAAGTTACCGCCGAAGAGCTAATGGTTCTGCGTCAGTTTGAATGTCTCTATTCTATAAATTCAGCGCCTTCTCATTTCATAGAAATAACAATAAAAAAGTGAGGTATCTCTTTCCTACAAGAATGATCAGAAAAGAGATACGCCACCGTAAAATTTGTGAAATGTGAGTGGAGACTGGCTTTGCGTCTAGTGTGTAAACGGGAGCGCTGCCCTCAGGCTGACCTAACTTCTAAGAGTAAATAAAGAGGAAAATAACTCTAATCTCTCGTCTTTCTGTTTCCTTCTGGAAAAGTCCATGGACAGTAACCTGTGATCGGTCACGGTGGAGATGGAGGATACTCAAATTATTACGGCCTAAGAAACCTAAATAAACAGAATCCTGCCCGATTCCGTAGTTATCGATGTCTCAGTGAATGAACAGGTACCTCTAACATTAAAAATCCAAACAAATCTCAAAAAATCCAGATATTTGGAGTGTTTGCCCAACTGACATTCAACTGTTCCTTGATGGGAGGTCCTCTCCAAAGGGACAGGCAGGATGCAGGCTTCACACACTTCCTGGCAGGAGCGGCTGTTGCCTGCCAGGTGTGCAGCAGAACCTGCCGCTTGTCCTCTGACCTCGAGCGCCTGGCAGGGGACGCACAGGACTCCCCAGGGGCTGGTGGACAGGGAATCAGCGGAGTCGCCACACCTGCTGCTGCAACGGGCCAGCCTCCTGGGGCGGATGAGCCGAGTGGCGCAGGTGGCCCACCTCCGGCCGGGAAGGTGTGCAGACGAACGCGGGCGGCGTGGGGGAGGCCGCTAACGCCCCGGCCACGGGACCAGCGGGGACAGTGGGACACCCGACGCGCCCCAGGGAGGAGTGCTGTCCCTGAGGGCGGGCAGTCCTGAATGCGACGCAGAGGTCCTAAGAAGACAGTCACGGGCTCGCGACCTCTGAGGTCCTAGGGGCAGGCACAGGGACGCACTGGGACACATGGGGACATGCGGAGGGGCACGGGGACACATGGGGCTACATGAGGACGCACAGAGATGCACGGGGACACGCAGGGACATACGGGGACGCATGGGGACATGCGGGGAGCACGGGGACACGCGGGGACACATGGGGACACACGGGGGTACGGGGACACGCAGGGACGCGGGGATGCATGGGGACACACGGGGGAGCACGGGGACACAGGGACACACAGGGACATGCGGGGACATGCGGGGATGCATGGGGACACATGGGGGCTCGGGGACACACAGGGACACATGGGGGCACGGGGACACACAGGGACACGCAGGGCCATGTGGGGATGCACGGGGACACATGGGGACACGCGGGGAAGCACGGGAGCACAGGGACACACGGGGGGCACAGGGACACACGGGGACGCGGGACTGTCTGGGGGCTGCCCTGCGCCGGCCTGCACCTTCCCGCCCGGCTGTGTCCTCGGAAGCGGCCCAGCTGCGGGGATGGTCCGCGGGTGCGAGGCCGGAGGGACTCCCACTGCTCGTCCCCACTCCGGACCACCTACCCCGCGACCTGCCCCAGCGGCACGTGGCGCGCAGGGCTCACCAACCAGGGATCCGGAGGGCACGCAGCGCTCCCGGACGCGCGTTTAGAAAGGCGCCCCGCGGAAAGATGTGTGAGGCGGCCGGACAGGCCTTTCACGAGCCGGAAGCTACCTAGACGGCCACGAACGGTGAAAGTAACCAACGTACGCGCAAACCACGCAGCTGGGTGCCATCATGCCCGTCAGAAAGGCCAGGGCGGAAGCGGTTTTGAGCACCCGCCATGGTGAGGATGAGGCACCTGGGATTCTTAAACCACCTCGCTCTGCGGCAGGTGAAACAGACTGTTGGGACATGTGGCAGCATCTGCCAACCTTGCAAACGTGTGCCTTGTCACCCGCAACTGCACTGAACACCGAAAGGCGTGTACATCTTCACCCAAAGAGGTGAAAGTGCTCACAGCAGCGGCGTTTGCCATGGCCCCAAAGTCCACCGATACCAGAGCTAGACCGTGGTGTAGTCACACTGGGATGTTATATAATGTGGATGCACAAGCAATTGCTACACAGAAAAAAGCCAGGCACAGAACAAAGCGCGTGGTTCCGACCAGAGAAACTTCAAAAGCAGCTTAGTTATGGTGTTAGAAGTCAAGATACGGGTTTGTTTTAAGGAGAGAAAGGGACACAGAGGAGGCTTCTGGATTCCTGGTCGTGCTTCTTACCAGGGTGGCGGTTCCACGAGTGCATTCGTTTTGTGAGAATTGGTCATTTGTATACTTTTCCAAGTTCTATGTCAATTCAAAGGTTAAAGCGATGATGTGTGAGCAAGGATTTGGGGAAGGCTGCTGTCTGGAGGAGCCAGCCATAGGGCTCATTCCTAGGACATTCCTAGAACAAAGGAACAGTGAGTCAAGGCTGTAGGTGGAACCACCTAGAGGAGCAGAGAGCCAGCTGCGGCCGGAGCCTGGGCCGGAGCCTGGGCCGGAGCGGGGAGGGCCTGGGGCAGAGGCGGCAAGACGTCCCATGCAACGCACACTACGTGTTCTGTCCTCAACCCGAGAACTAGCTTACCTCACGGTGAGAATGTAAGATCTTAGAGGAGAATTAAAGGGACTGAGATTGAGAATGGGTTTATGAAAGTCTAATATTGTTGTCTAAGGGACAAAATAAAGTTGATCAAGAACAAAAGAAAAATGGGTTTTCTCCCCTTGAAGGGCTTTTGCAAGAGCACTGTATCTCATAAAGACCGTTATTGTCTCTGGGTTTAAATTAGGATCCCGAGAAACTGGTCCAGTGGGGCAGGAGACAGGAGCTTGACTGTGTGGCCCCGGGCAAGTCATACTTGCCTTGGCCTCAGCTGCGTCGTCGCCTGCACGACAAAGGGGCTGAGAACAGTGTCTCCTAAGGCTGTTCTACCTCTAAAATTCTGGTCTTCAGTCACTTAAATTCCGCTGCTTTAGTTTCCCACCAGAATAAAGGAACAACTGTCACTCCGTCCCGAAACACTTCTGGGAGGTGTTTTCACACGTTGTCAAATGAGTGATAGTTACAAATAACCCTCATTTTCATTTTCCGAGTGTTAACTCTCCCATTAGTGCAGTAGAAGCAGGACTCTTAGACAAAGTAATGATCCTTAAGGCGAAACACTGATATGGTTGCAGCCCAAAGGTGGTACATCATAACACAGTGACCATCCATCAATGATGTGTTTCTCTTTCAGACAGCCTAAGAAATTTCTTTCTTCAGGAGAAATCTCGATGAACTGATATCCATGGTCCCTCTTCCCTGGTCCCCTCTCATGCCTGCAAGCTTTGCTTATTCACTGTTTGTAATATGTAATGATGAAGCATATTCTAAGAAACAATTAACAGAAGAAAAATGTATGCAAACTCAAATAAAAAATTGTATGCTACCCATTAAAACACCAATAGGTAAAAAGGCAAACAGGACATTCTCAAGCACAGAAAAGTATTCAATATCACTAATAACTACATAAACACACATTTGAAGGAGCTATCGTTTTTACTTAGGAAACTGGTCAACAGTTTGAAAGTGAGAATACTGCATGTCGGTAGGTCTCTGTTGAAATGGCACCATCACACACAGCTCGGGGTGTTTCAAACCCATATGGACCTTAGGAATAACAATTTGGAAATGTACATCGAGAGTCTTTAAAAGCTTCATAACCTTTGATTAATAATATTACTTCCAGGAATATAACATAAGGAAAAAAAATTCTTATTTCTAAAAATGTTTTATGTGAAGACGTTCTTCATAGGTTTATATATTATACTGAAAAAAAAAAAAAAAGCCTAAGTCCAAGAATAAAGAATTAAAGTCTGATATATAAACAATAAAATAAATCATATTTATGAAAAAAAAAAAGGATCTGATTTATTACGTAATCTAAACTGTTAAAAAAAGGGAGATTGCAAAAACACTGGGAAAAAAACAATATTTACAAAGTTATAAAAATGTGAACACTAAATATTAACTAAAAATAGAGATATAGTTATATTGGTAGAATTAGTGGAGAGGAAGAGTGTATATTCAAAAAAAAAAAAAGAAACAGTTAAAAGCGAAGATGGCGGAGGCGGTTATATGGGGAGAGACCCGCTGGGCGGGCACCATCGCAGTACTTGGAAAAATCAGAGGCTGCAGACGCTCTTCCTCTCTTGTATTCTCACGCTGCTGACCGTCACCGTGTCCTAGGGAGACCGGAGAGCCCACCCTTCCTTTATGTGTTCTACACTCTGCCGCTCATGCAATCCTCGTAACAGATATCATAAAACTGACTTTTATAATGAAGAGAATAAGAAGAGGTGGGATGTGCACAAGGTCATTTATTGGCACTTCTTACCCCTATACTACGAGAGGCACTGACAACTTCCAGAGAGATGAGGGCCGCTGAGCGGGAGGTGGGGCTGCTGCTGAAGGGAGAGCCTGGGCACCTGGGCTGTGAGTTGGTGGAAAAGACCAGGTTGGAGGCCGGAGGCCGGAGGCCGGGACCGTGAAGGCCGCCGGTCAGGCCCACGGTGTCGCCGTCGGTGGGCATGCCTGGCAGTGGTAAGGTTTCCGCGTGAGGCTCACAGCACGTCCACCCAAACAGAACCAGATGCCCTGGCAGACCCGTTCAGAGGCGGTGGGATGGAAGCTGGACAGTGGGCTTGATCAGTCTGGTGATTACAAGTGATTCCTATGAAAGTAAAATAGATCTTGAAAATATCCGAAAGAGAACGTTTGTGTCATTTCCATGGTAACCAAGATGAAGGCCAGAGTGTCTTAGGAGCCTTTTGTCTTCCTGATCAGTCCTTCTATGGTGTCCCACTGCTCCTTGGTGACCTGACACAAAAAAGAAACAGCAATTTAATGTGGTTCCCAGCTGCTAATGTTACGTTACATTCACGAAGTGGCATTACCTTCCTCAGATCGTTCAATTCACCGGAAATAAGCGACTGCTCTCCGCCGTCGAATCTGATGACCTGAAACGTGTTAATAAACATTCTGAAACTAACTCCTTTTCAAAAGTTTCTGAACTATCGGCCACTTTTCTATCCTCATTGGATGGAATGTATCCTTGGCACTTTCAACTAAATCCCAAATTTTAAAGACAGAACTGATGATTAAACCTCAACTGATTTCTCTGCAGAATCTTCTTTCCACCATCTCCACAATGACAAGTTCTACTCAATCTTAAAGATCACCTTAGGGCATGTCTACCACAGTAATTTTCATTTAATCAAATTAGTTTATCAATGAATCAATTCCATAGGCTAAATATTGTGACATTATTCACAGCTAAGTAAGCATTTTAAATCATATTTACATTCAACATTGTCAGGACTGGTTCCCCAGTATGCCACGCTGCACCCTAAATCTACTTCCCCAAAAAGCTGAGAGAAACCACAGTGCTTACTGCGCCATTGATCCAAGAAGCGTAATCGCTACACAGGAAAGCAGCGAGATTTGCAAGCTCCTCCACAGTGCCCAGCCTCCCGCAGGGAATTCTCTCGATCCAATCTTTCTCAAATGTTCCAGTCGGGTCAAGACGGCTAAAGGCACCCTGAAGAATGAAGACAATGGTTAGGCTGCATTTTCTTTAACGTAACCCGTTTCCTATTTAAGAAACAAATCTGTGTAAAATGAATGTTACTATGGGGGCCTAGTCACACTTTAGGCTTCGTAAGCAATGGAGAATTTTGCCAAATTCTTCCACGTTAACTTTAGCTCAAAACAGGTCATTTCACCTAATACTGACCTAAAAAAATCGCTAGCAAGTGTAACCTTATACATGTTAGTTTCACCTGTAAAATTGGGATACCCATCTTAGCTACCTCACACAATTGCTGCTGGGTGCATCAAATGAGAAAATGGACATGAAAGCATTCTGAAATATGCACAAATCAGTGTGTGGGGTAGGGGTGCCACTGTCATTTGACTTAGCGGACACAGAAAAATGAGTCAAGTAGGAAATATTTAAGAGGAAATTTCTTTTCTTCTCCTTTCTTCTCAAATAAAAAGCAAGGACAAAAACAAGTGTGTAGGAATATACATTCAGGTATATCCCAGAGAGAGGAACACCGTAACTGAATCTGAAGTGGACGTCTGCCTTCTGCTGTGGGCGAGAGGGAGCAGGTGATGGTGGGCCTTGGGCACGCACCGCTCAACACAATGCCTGGACCTTCTGCACCAGGGCCTGCAAGTCACAGGGTGTGAGACGGTCAGCACCCAGGCAGGGGTGAAGCTATGGGGACAAAAGGTGGCAGCTGGTCCTAATCCTGCCTCTGTCAATGCTCCAAGAGTTTCTAGACTTCCGTTTCCTTTCGATCTCTTTAAAACGATATGCTTCTTAGTTGTGTGCAATTCATACCTCTACTGCTAGACTGCAAAGTCCCTGATGGCAGGCACTGTCACAAACGTACCTTTCTCAGCACCTTTGCACACAGCAGGCACTCAATAAATACTTTAAATAAGAAGTAAAATGCAGCTGAACTTTCCTAGATGTTGAGGTCCTAGGAAGAAGCTTCAGTGACCACATGATTCTCTTCAGAGTCCTTAGCACAGCATCACCAGCATCGCGTGATGTACACGTGCTTGTGAGTTATGTTTTCATTTATTTTAGTGACTCTTTATCACTGCGGTGTTAAACATGCAAGGTATTCAACGACGTTTCACTCAGGTGGTTTTTCTTCCAATTTTCTACTCTTTAAACTCCTAAATAAGTTAATATAGCCCCTTTCAAGTTAGTATTTAACACCCGGCACTACCTACAACCCAAATGCGCCTTTGCGTTATTTTCCAATGTGTTTCTACAACTGGACCAGGTTATCAAACCTCCACTAGGCTTTCAAAGCTACACACCGGTAGGGATTATAAATTCCTGCTTCCATGAAAACAACAAGTGTGAGGGTGAAGTTATTTGGGGTACTGTGAGGGAGCAGAGAGCCTTCTGTGCACCATCTGTAACCACACTAGTGACAATGACGAGCTGCAAAGAGCATGCGTGAGGACTGCTGATTGTGAGTGAAGTGCGTGCCGTCGGGAGGGCTGTTAACCAGACGACGTGCATGAGTGTTGAAAGTGGAAAGCACAGACACACGTCAGAGAAGATGCTACCTCGAGCAAAGCCAAGCCTGTCCGATAAATTTCTTTGGCATCTCTTCAATTAAATATACATATTTACTTAAAAAAAGCATGCAATCAAAGTGAGAATCATAAAATATAGTACAAACTAAAAACTATAAGACAAAAACAGATGACTGACGCAAACTGGACAAAATACCAAAACTGAGGACATGAAAGATCCCGAAAGATGAGGCCGCTGCAGGAGACCGGGCGGGGGAAGGGGGGTGCGCGGCGCTGCCATGCTGCCCGCCCCCTTCTCACTCCGCACAGCGGCACGACCCTCCTGCTGTCCCCACGGCTCCAAACTCGGGCACACGACCATCAGAATACACCCACCCATGTGGCACTCCTCAGTCACCCAGCGAAGACACGCAAACTCAGCCTTACTTTGGTTTTTATGGGCCCCGGTTGAATCACGTTGAATCGCATTCCGTATTTAGCCCATTCGGCTGCGAGAGACCTAGAAATTAAAATAAACAACATATTCTAAAGTTTAGACTAAATGTTAAAAATGATAGTGACCATGTTTACTACACGCATGGTCACTACACGCCAGAGACTGCGACCCCAGCCGGCAGGTACCATTGCTACAGACAAGGAAACTGGGCACAGAGGTTAAATCAGCCATCGCTATGGCTGGTAAGTGGCCTAGCTCCAGAGCTTGAGCCCTTAGTCACTCGGCTGCACTGTCATTGACATTTTAGTGTTCTTAATCATGACGCTATTTACATTTCAGAATCAAGTCCAATATCAATACACATCCTCAGAGTGGGCATCACTGCTGGGTATAAAAACACGAGAAGTGTGGCCCCTCTAAGTGCTCTACGGTCAGTCCCGCCTTTACGAAGTTCAGTGTGGCTTCGTTCAGTACACGGGGTCACGATGTTTGCGACACCACACACGCTTCCATTAAGAGGTGCCTCACACCGATTTAAAATGTTGACCACATCTACGTGTAACTAGGCTTTAATGCACTTGTTGGCCTGCACTCGAAAGGAAACAGGAATTCAACAAAATCTTGCTAAGTGCCCTGAGACTGAGACAACGCTAATAGCAAACATGGAACCTTGAAGCAACCTGTATGATGAGCCTACCTGACGGACAGGCCTAACTTTATTCTCTAAACTTATTTTAGGGCTTTACGGTCATATGTACATTTGTGTATGTATACATGTAATTTAATTTCAAAAAATCACGTCAGGTAATTTATGCAAATGCAGAAGGTAAGAAAGGAAAAGAACCAAGGACGAGGCACTAGAAAGATACCGGGAATGGAGCTAGCATGACGCGCACTGCGACACTGCACAGAATTACAGCGACCGGGCCACAGCGCGTCGCTCTTTCCGTGATGCCACACAGCAGTGGCGAGCCAGTCGGCCACGCGACCAGCCGTGCGCGTGAGAAGTGAGCGAGCCGATCCTCAGGAAAAGCACATCGTTTCTGATATGCTAAATAATGAGAAAAACATTTCTTCCAAGACTTACAAAAGGAAAATTGTGTATTATAATACTAATATTGTCCTTAAGACACCACCCGACCTTAAGAAGGCCAATTATCGCTGTTCAGACTGACTCCGCTTCTGAGTAAAGTAATACTTTTTCTCTCAAACAAACGAGCGTGCCTGGTTTAAATGTCAAAAGGCGTGCGGGACGACGGGCGGAGCCGAGCAGTTCCGGGAGCGCTGAGACCGACCTCACATCCTGCGGGGAAGTCGGGGCGTTAAAGCCACGTTAACGGCCGTCCACAGGGCCCTTCTCTGTGCCCCCCGTGCCGCTATACGACCGGCATTTCAGAATCTACGACGCCGGATGGCACTGACTTATTAGAGGCTTAGTTTCCTCGCTAAACTGGAATAAAGTTTTAAGGGTTCACAGAGTGGAGAACAATTAATTCTGTTCCAGAGAAACTGGACAGAACGTCCCCAAGAGGGTGATGAGCTGAGAGTCTTGGAGGAAGGCAGAGCATCGGGGCGACCCAACAGCGCGAAGCCAGGCGCAGAGCCGTGGGGACACTCGGCGCACTGCAGGAGGTGGGGGCCGTTCAGCAGAAGCAGAGCCCAGGCGAGGATGAGGTCTCCCGGCTTCCATCACGACCACGGCACCGGGCCCAGGGCCAGGCACACCAAAGGCACGCAGTAAACATTGACCCAATGAGTCAGTGAATAAACACGTCTGCTCAGAAGACCACACCGAGGCCTGGCTTTCATTCCAAAGGGTAATGGGAAAATGACGCAGGGTTTCCGTGAGTAGTCTCATAAGCAGATATATTTTTAGAAAGAAGGTTCTGGTGGGAATGTAAATAGAAAAGAAAGAGGGAAGAGGCTGGGTGCAGAGAAACGCTGCAGGGCCGCAGCGAGCCGCATGCGCAGCGGACCCTGCCCTCCGCCAGATGCTGGGGAAGGCCGGCGACGAGCAGGTTCCGAAAGCGCCGTGCGCTGCGGGGCCACTGGTCTGTCTGTCCTGTCCATCCTGTGCGTAGGCGCGACGCAAGCGCAGAGGTGTGTTCGGAGGGCAGGGCGGGCACGTGAAGACACGTGTGAGAACGGGCCGTCGCCCTGTGCTGGCTAGCCCCACGGGGCTACGCAATTTTAAGGTAATTAAACTTAAATAACATTTAGTTTCTCAGTTACAGGAGCCACAGTGGAAGGGGTTGAGGGCCCACCGCGGACCTCCCGGGGGGGCGCAAGGCACTCACTTGCTCAGGGCTTCCACTCCCGCTTTGGCGGAGGCGCTGGGCACCACGAAGCCTGACCCGGTCTCAGCGTAGACGGTGGTGATGGCAAGAAACGCTGCTCCTGGAAGTGAGAAAAACACAGTGGGTGGCAGTCCCGCTCAATCGGATGCCGCTCTGCCCACTCGCCACCGTGGACTCGCTCCTGGAGCACGCACAACAACAGCAAACAAACGGACTACAGCGACCAAAAACATTTTTGCACAGCACAGAAAACCATTAACAAAACAAAGTCGCCCTACTCAATGCAACAAGGTATTCACAAACGATATATCCAACACGGGGTTAATATCCAAAATATACGAGGAACTGATACAACTTAACAGCAAAAAAAAAAGAAGCAATCCAATTAAAAAACGGGCAGAAGGCCTGAATAGACATTTCTCCAACAAGGACATACAGGTGGCCAATAGACATATGGGGAATGCAAATTAAAACCACAGTGGACGTCACCTCACATCTCAGAGTGGCCATCATCAATCAATCAACGAGCGACAAGCGCTGGCGGACGTGAGGGGGAGCCCTCACCCACTGCTGGCGGGACTGACGACGGAAAACAGCGCCGAGGTTCCTCAACAACCGAGCACGGAACTGCCTGGGACCCAGCAATCCCACTTCTGGGTATTTATCCAAAGAAAACAAAGACACTTATTCAAAAAGATATATACAGTCCTATGATCACTGCAGCGTTATTTACAACAGCCAAGACGTGGAAGCACCTAAGTGTCCACTGAGAGAGGCGAGTGGATGAAGAGGTGGTACATATACAACGGAACATCACTCAGACATTAAAAAAAAAGAAAATGAAATCTTGCCACTGGCAACAACATAGATGGACCTAGAAGGTGTTATGCTAAGTGAAATAACTCAAACAGAGAGAAACAAACACCATATGATTTCACTTATGTGTGGAATCTGAGAAACAAAATAAACGAACAAACAGAACAGGAACAGACTCACGGATAGAGAACTGACGGTCGCCAGGGGTAGGGGGCTTGGGGGAGTCGAGTGCAGATCGGGACGAGATTAAGAAGTTCACATTAGTAGTTACAAAACAGTCACAGTGATGTACACAACGTCGGGAATGCGGTCGGCAACGCTGTAATGACTACGTATGGCGTTAGGTACGGCCAATCGGGGTGGTCACTTCGTAAGGTGTCTCTCTCATTTCTCGTGATGTAGGGCTTGCTGGGAAAATTCAGTATGTATCCTATGCAAGTCCTTTGTGACCAGACTCTTCAATAAAACCCCATGTTAGTCCTTTAGTCTTTCCTCACTGCAAGTTCTCAGTTCTTTAATAAAAGTAGATATTCTTTCCACACTATTTACTAACTTTTACATTTACACGTGATATCCTAGTGATGAATCTCGACAGGGTATTTCCAACACCCTTCCTGAAAGGCCCAGCCACGCGTTCGCCGGCCGCTGTGGCTGGAAAAGCACTGAGCTGCTGTCTCCAAGGGTCTCCTACGCCTCTCACTTGCTGATTGTCGTTGTGGCCGTCAGCGCCACCTGGAAACGTGCTTGATTCTGGCCTCTTTGCCCCAGCCCAGGCCACAGCTCTGGGTCCTCAGGCCGCTGCGGCCTCACTCCGAGTGCGCGTCGCCCCCAAGTCCTGCCTAGCCAGCCCGCGTCCGCCCTGTGTCCGCCGGCGCCTCACGCGCTCTGGCCCGCCTCCTCTGCGCTCTCACCTTCCTTGACCACCTCCCTGGACGCCGGAGCACCCCCTCCCTCCTGGTCACAGGCTACCGGGCCGCTGTCCGCGACGGACCCCGGCTCCCCTACGTGACGCACTCCAGGGGTCGTCACGCCAGAGCCCCTCGGCGCCGGCCCCAGCACGGACCCGTGTGCGAGTCCTCAGCCCTGCCAGGTCGCAGCATCGGTATCTGACCGGGCTCCTGGACGGGCAAAGGCTGGCTCCCGTCTTCTAAAAGGCCTTGGCTAATATATTTTTAATGGAACCCATAGAATTTTAATCCAACGTGATGAATAAAAATAGGTGGAAGTCTGTGTTAGCATGAAAGACAACGACGAGAAGACGGGAGTCCGGCGAAGCAGGGCCGCAGGGCTGGGCGGGGAGAAGTGAGGGGGAGAGGGGAGAGACGCTGAGTGACGCGGAGTCGGAACCGAGTGAGGAGCGGACGGGTGCGGGGGAGGCGGAGACGCGGGAGAGACACGTGGGAGGCGGGGTGGGGGGGACGACAGAGACCTCGGTCCTCGGGTGGACGGGGCGGAGGAGCCGGCCCACCTTGGTCTCTCTTTCCAGTTGCTCGCCCTTCTGAAAAACCAGAAAAAACAAAAGCGTCACGCAGACTCCACCCTAAGTCACACCCCTTGTCACAGTCCGAGGAAATTAGACACTCAGACAGCTTCGTTAGAGGAAGGAGAATTTAGTGCCCGCAGAGAGCGTGGGGCTTTCAACAGAGCCGAAGCACGGCCTCCCCTTGGCTAGATTTCTTCCAGCTCATGTACCCTGGCAGTGTCCACGCCAGGGGCCTGACTCCTCTGAGGGTTCCCGGGCGCCTCGTGACTGAGGACGGGAGGGGCAGCTTCGGGTGGGGGGCTGCAGGGGAGGAATTTCCAGACCACTGGTCTTACAGGTCGTTTATTTTGTAGAACCCGTGACCTTAGCGACATCAGCGCCATTATCAGATTCTCGAACAGGGAGTCGGGACGTGCTCGGCGGATTCCCATCCAAAGCCTGAGCTCTGATGGTAGCGTAACAGGCCGTTTTCCAGTCCTGTTATTCCTACACGGCTACAGAGATAAGAACATTGGTGGGATGGCAAACTATGAATCAACAGATGTGAGCCGGGGAGTCCTCGAGGTGGGGGACGGAGCTGTGGGGAAACGTGTGGGTGGGAGGGCACAGGCAGCATGGCGGGGAGCAGCTTCACCCGGCCGGGCCGGTCGCTTCCACAGGCCGCTTCCTTTGCGCTGTCTCGGAGGCCTCCTCTCCTCTCTCACCCTCTGCGGCGGTGGGAAGGCCTGTGTCTGCGTTTCAGGGACAGTGTGGACGAGGCTGGACACACAGCTGGCGCCTGACCTTCCGGTCTGTCCCTACACCCCCTTGCACAGGCCTCAGAGTCGCCCAGACTGCCCTGCCCTCTGGCCGCGAGGGATACCCTTCAGGGGACACAAGGACGCTGCCGTCACGTCCCGCTCGGGATGCCCTTCGTCGCGAGGAAACACTGCTCCCTGTCCCACCCCCACCTGCTCGGCACAGAGGCCTGCCTGCCTGTCACTGGTGTGTGCAGTGCGGGGCCCAGCGCACACGCACCAGTAGAGCCTGTTGGATGAGCAAGTGCACACTGCCCCGGCACGCAGGCGTGCACAGGCACACACGCACACACAACCTCCTAGTCACCGCCCCAGGCACACAGGCGTGCACACGCACACATGACCTACTAGTCACAGCACACGGACTTCTACCCAGAGTCTGTTCACGTGCAAACCAAACGTTCTGGTAGCTTCCTCTACATCTGCTCCCCTCTGGTGCCCTCGGCCTCGCTGCTGCCACTGTCCGGACCGCTCGCCAGCTCAGAACCCTGTCATCTGACCACGAACCCTGCTGCCTGTATCCTCCCTGGGTCCTGATCTGTCCAATGGAAAGCTGGCAGCCCGGACGGTCCCTGACCTTTCCAACCCCACACTCGGCACGCGTCCCAGCCAGTCCCAGCCTCACGAGACCCCTCGTCTCCTTCAGAACCAACCCGGGTCTCCCATCGTGGTGCCAGGAGCGCCCCGACCACGCCGGGCCAGCTTCCCGGCCCTCCCGCGCTGACCAGTCCTGGAGCCATCGCCACCTCCCCCAGGCCCGCCTGCGTCCCCGCCTCTCCCCTGAAAGTCCAGGTCGACCTGACAGTCACCTGGGGGGGGCTGGTCACTCCTTTCCTGGGTCGCCACAGCGCAGGGTGCTGAGGGAGGTGTTGTTCCTCCCCAGGACACGGAGAGCTGTCCAGGGGTGGACACTGTCAGGGCTGCGGGGCTGCGCACGGGACCCGCGCATGGCAGGACACACACACACACCTCTCTGCGCCTCGATCAGCTGCTTCCCGACCGCCAGCGTGACGAAGGCCGTGCCGTTCAGGACTATGTCGGTGATGGTCTTCCACGCGTTGGGAGACAGTCTCTCGGTGGGAGAAATGAAGTTGCCGGCTGCGTTGTTTATCACGATCTGCCAGAGGGACACACGGTTACCGCAACTTTGAGATGAGGAGACAGGTTTGCCCTCAGGGGCATTTCTGCCCCGACCTCAGGCGCGGTCCACGATGGGACGATGCCGGGAGAGTCGACGGGTGGCCGCAGTCCTCGAGCCTGTTAAAATCTCCTACGTTCTTACCAAATTCCAGAGTCCCAGCTCTTTTCTCAAAATCAGGGTAGAGTCTATCACTGAGAACATAAACACAGACGAAGCATGCCTGCCACGCGACTACACCTGACACGCCTTTAACCTCGGTGTCACTTCAGCTTAACTTACTCCATCGGACTCTGGCCAAGGACCTGTTTCTTCACTGTCAATGAAGGTCCCACTTAGTCCTACAGCTGGTCTGGTGTCAGGGCCGTCTGACAGCATCGTTAATGCCCTCCCTGGGGACCCCTGGAAGCAATGGCTTCTTCCAGCAGCGGAGCACCCACGCCTGTCGCAGGTCTCGACAGGAGACTGGACTCTCTCGTGGGCCCCGTTTTATCATTCTCCACCGACAGAGAGGGGAGTTCATCAGGAAACACAAAGAGCGTGGCTCGTTCGGCCCGGACGCAGTGCTCTGGGGTAACGACGCCTCGCCGGTCACAATCTTATTCAACAGAGTGAAACGTGTTCTGCATGACCACAAGTGCGATTTTTAAGTGGTGCCCCCGTCTGCTGTGATCTGCTCCCTGCTCTAGGCAGCTGGCTGCTGGCGAGAGGCAGAGAACAGCACCGCGGTGCATGTTGGGAGGGGCACCACCACTGAAGCCCGTTACCGAGACACTCACGTCAGGATGGCCTGCGACACTGATCAGCTCCGACACCGTGTTCTGGACCATGTCAGGGTCCCTCACGTCACATTGAATTGCATGGACCTGCAGAGGAACAGACAGGAGGAATCCCATATTTTTCAAACTTCCTAAACCAAAACCATGAGTAGATTACTTAAGCATGCTGTGATTCCTAAATTTAAATGAAATGTTTTGAGCGTACCTTATTTCCAGTCTGAGAAGAAATCTGGTCTGCGGCAGCTTTCAAAACATCAATCTTTCTAGAGATAAACATGCAGTGCTTTGCATGAGTTTTCGAATGCTGTTGTATAATATCTTTTCTTTTTAATTCTATAAATTAAAAACCAGAGAATCTACAGCTCAAAGAGATACATTCTTGAGACAATACGAAAGTTACATATCCACAAACAAATCAGTTCGCATGAATTCATTTTCAAGTTATTCAAACACTTATGTATCTCTGATACTAACATACTAAGTTATTTACATTTAAACCAGTTACTTTATATCTACTCATAGATTAAATTTTTTTCCTTAATCACAATCTTTTCCATCTGTTCCCTTGCCCACACCTGCTTTAGAAAGAAAATACCTTCGTGGTGTAATGTAAGCCTTTATCATACTATGTAAAATCTAGATTGTGTGTAAAACCTATGATAGCAGATTGTAGACCAAATTTATGGATATAAATGCACTGTATGAATTCAGAACCTCATATCCTTGAAAAAAATATAAAAATGAACCGTTGAGTATAAATTATGTAGTGTTACAAAAAAAATTTTAACACTCTTAAAAACAATACAATATAAAAATAAACCAAAAAGGGCCTGGCCCCTTTCCACTAACGGAGGCACGGGAAAGCGGTTCCTCTGGCCCCTGGTGAGTAACATGGTGACCTGTCATTCAGGTTGCTGCTTACCTCCACAAAAGTTTACACTGCTCAAAATAAAAGGAAGGGTAGATTTTCTGACCAGTCTGAAGTTCTAGACTTAAGGTGCAGGGCCCAGGACACGCTTCTCTAGTAAGAAATTCCTTTCACATGGTCTCAGCACCCACACCCATCGCCACAACAGCTGTTCTGAGATGCCCGCCCGGCTCAGAACACGGAGGGGTGGTTCCTATTTCCTGGTGTAGACTGCCTGCGGTGTAGACTGAGATCAGAGCAGCCTCAACGCAGGACTTCTTATCATCATCCCCAGCTACAGAAAAAAATCCTGTCACTACCTTTGGGAAATGTTTCTATCATCACAAGTTATAACTGGTTTTTCCAAGGAGATTTATTTAAATAATCTAAAGGATATTTCATGGAAGATTAAGACACAAGATGAAACAAATGTGGCAAACAGCGCTTCAATCTGCAGGCACTGACCTGTTTCACGACTTCCCGAGGGTGACTTACCGGCTGGCTATGACACATTGCGCACCCAGGCTGGACAGAAGGGCGGTCATCCCTCTGCCGAGACCCGTGCCGCCCCCGGTGATGAACGCCACTTTTCCTTGAAAACTGTTAGGCGGTAGCATCGCTTTTTGAAGGGGTGGAAAGAATTTAGACGAAAAAGCTTCACTGTCTTGATACATTTTCGTTCCATAACTGAAAAACTAAAAGCAGGGAGGGGGATTAATTGAAATTTGCATCTATGTGTTACCGCAAGAGGAATTTCCAAAACCTTACTCTTGAATGTAATATTATTCGAATCTTTGGATTAACATATATTGGTATTGAATTTAAACAATTATTATTTTTCTATTGGAATGCTGCGACACAGCAGAATGGTTAAAACCAAGGGCTTCGGAGCGAGACAACAGGACAGAATTTCCTCTCCAGTATATAACCTTCAGCAAGTTAGTTAACCTCACTGTGCCTCAGCAGCTTCTGCAAATGAAGACAATAACAGAATCTTCCCCATTAAATGTGATTACACGAGTTCACATAAATAACTACAACATTGTTTGGCACATGCTAAGCACTCTATAAATGTCAGCATTATTATTTGTAGATGTTTTTACTTATATTTAACTTTAAAAGCTAACATAAAGCATATTTGTCTTTAAGCAAGGATATTTTGGATAAAAATCACCTTGTCTTTGAATCACTGGAGAAATCCATAAAAAGTTCTTTAGAAGGTTTATCAGATCAAATGCTTCTTCCCATGCTGCTTTCTGGATGATAAATTTAGAATAGATAAACTATTTCTGTTATGTTTAAAATGAGAGGGGGTGAAACCATTCTGAACTAAAAAACATTTGCACTGACCTTAGATTTTAGTTTACACTCTCACCATCCTTGTGAAAGTCACTGCCATTCTCTCGCATCTATGAAAACGAACTTTACGTGCTGAGCATCATGACAAATGATAGAGAGCTAATGTTCATGAAAGGTTTATCACCTGTCGAGATTAGATATCAAACTGACTAACCTTCCCGCTCCATGAAATAGGAAGTATTTTTACCCCATAAACAGAAGGGGCCCAGAGAAGTCGAACATATGGACCAGGCTGCAGAACTGAGATTCGCACGTGAAACGGCCTTGTGCACCGCCTCCCTCTGCTCACTGAGCTCCTGCTGGCATTAACCTCCACCCCAAGGTGCGTGACATTCATCCGGGCACCCTGCAAGGCTCAAGCCCCAGAACCTATCATTTCCTGCTGGAGTATTCCTGCGAGCACGTGGGCCACCATCAGCTGATCCCGGGTACCTAGAAACGCACCCTAAGGGAACAGCTAGAAACGAGGTCAACAGCTTAGGGTGAGACTACTCATCAACTGGAAACCGCACAGAAAACACTTAGGATAAGATGTTAGATGAAAAAAGAAAAATACAACATGTTCTTAACTGTAAATAAAAATACATGCTTGGAAAAACCATGGCAAGGAAGTGACACCAGCAAGTGGCAGGTTCCCTATTCACCACGTGTCGAGGTCTACTGACCACACGACAACGCTGTAAGGAGAATTCTGCTGTTATCCCCATTTTATGGATGGGGAAACTGACGCACGGAAAGGTCAAGTTACGAACTTACGACACTAATAAGTAGTACCTACGACTCAAACCCAAGACGTGTCTGACTTCCAAGTCCTCCATTACCTCACACAGTTATCATCTCTGGGTGATGAGGTTGTGGATCATTATTTGCTCTTTTTGTTTGGTTGGTTTTTAGTATTTCCAAAACCTAGTCAATAATTATAATTTGATTTTATAATCAGGAAAAAAGACGTTATTGAAAGAAAATTTAAGGATGTGTAAAACTGGTGAAGATAAACTGCAAATCTGGTCCACGCAGGCTACGTCGTACGTCACCTCCTCTAGCTTCGCTGACAAAGCACTTTCTTTCTGTACCCTTTTGCCAAAGCGTGAAACCCAAATAGCCTACAGGAACCTTTTTTGGCTTTGCTCGAGGCTGCCGCCACCTCCAGAACCAGTCCACCGAGGTGATGAACTGGGAAATTTGCACAAGTAGGCCGCTCTGTTTGTCATTACCAAGTAATAATGAAAAAATCTGTTCTTAATTTTCCAAAGGCTCCAGGCTGAATTTTTACTTAGTGTTGGTTTGTGTAGGGCATTTGATGTGGCGCTCTGTGAAAGATAAATTAAGCAAGATATCCGCATACAAATTTTTTTTCTTCATTTATTTAAAAATATTTTTCAATCTCCTTACTGGGAGATAAAAATTCCTAATAAGTGTCTATCATGTAACAGATTACAACACAGCACAATCTCATCCACTGCACCTGTTTTGATGTGATGGATATGACCACACGACTTCCCCTCCCCACCAGAGAAAAGTGAGCATATTGATATGCTGTTTTATTTCACATTACCTTCTGATCATTCACAGCATGTATGCTGTTGAATATTAAATTCGAGCCGCCTATTTGCCTAAAAGCAAGTTGTTCAACATTGAGACCCATGGACATGAGCAGACCTCACAGGATCATGTTGTATTCACACTCCTGTTTCTACAAAGGATGCTGAATAACCTGAAATTGCATTTTGGCTGTTTAAGTTGGATCATAAAAAGTAGATACAAAATAGGCTTTTAAAGATTTTCAAATCTTGCTCATTTTTCTAGCAATAAGGTTTTATTTTTTTGAACATGGAAATAACACCTCTCATGTCAAGACTGAGTTCTCTGGAGATCTTTAAAATCTCTCAAATTCTTAAAAGGAGTTTCCTAGTTTTGGCAATACAGATTTACTTTCACCTTCTGGCCTTTGCTCGGGCTTTCTCGTCAGCCTGAACCACCCACTTTCTTTCTAAATCCGGCAGAATCAGCCTTCGAAACCGAGCAAAGTGTCAAAAACTCTGCTGACACTTTTAAAAGGGTCCCTCTGCTAAAAACGGGCTGAACGACTCCCTCCTCCCATCAGGTGGCAGCTTCCACAGGGCACTGTGACATCAGGAAGGTAGAAAGCTCCACTCCCCACTGTATAGGGTTCCCGGCACCAACAGCATTCAGTAAATGCTTGTTTTATTGCATGGAACATTGATTGGCCAGGCTCCAATGCCATCAAGAATGTATGAGAACAGACGAGAAGAGTCTTACGCAGACTCATGCCACAAATCCAACTCTTTGCCACTTGTTTTGACCAATTAAAATAGTTATATCCGAGGACTTCAAATAATGGCATCTTGAAATTAGTTTACACCCAAGAAAAGAAAATCCAAGTCTATTGATATGAGTATTAAGAAGTCATCTGTATATATAAAAACTAGGCAAAGGGCTTTAAAAGGTAGTCCACACAAAGAAAATATACATAAACATACTGCTAGCTGAATAATCATATTTAAACAAAGGAAGACACCGTTTTTCTATTACCAGATCGGTGAGGTTCAAAATTTTGTAACGCGGTATACAATAAACTGCTGACTAAAGTCTACTCTTGCGATTTGTTGATATGAACTGGGACAACTTCTTTGGAGGCCAATTTGGCAACATTTATCAAAATGTTACTTATAAATACCCTTTGAGCCAATAACTCCACATTTGGCAATTTTTTTCCAACAGATACACTCACTCATTTGGTGGGGTGGGGAAAGCTATGTTCAAAGGCTATCCATTAAGGTGAAAATGAAAATTAAAAAAATTCTATTCACAATCACATCAAAAAGAATAAAATACTTCCTAATAAATTTAATAACAGCAGTGCAAAACTTGTTAACTGAAAACTATAAAAGATCATTAAAAATTAAAGAAGACTTAAATAAATGGAAAGACATCCTGTGTTCATGGATTGGAAATCTAATTTTGTTAAGATGGCCAAACTCCCCAAATTGATCTACAGATTCAATTTCTATCAAAATCCCAGTTGGCTTTTTGCGAAACTTGACAAGCTTATCCTTAAATTTATTTTTAGGGACTCAAGTATAAGGGGCTCAAAATAGCTCAACATATTTATTAAGGCTTGTTTGTAAAAGAAAAGGCTAAAACACCTATCTGCATTTCCAAAGGGGGTGTAACAAATCCATTAGGGCTCATACACATAACAAACACTGTATCTATTAAGAGAAGCTAGAGATTACCAGCTATATGTAAACACTGCTACATCTACATGTTTATTCAATCACTCAACATATATGCATTAATACCTATGGTGTGAGGCATTACGGGTTAAGGAAAAACCCTAGGTAGAGAAATACACATAAAATGCTCCCATTTGTGTGTATTTTTTTTTCCTAAATGAGGACATCCTCATACATATGTGGATATGTGCACAGGAATTGCTGGATCGACAGGAAACTATTCATAGCAGTAACCTCTGCGGAGAGGGACTTACTGTATTGTCACTGCGTGTCCTATTGTACAGCTGAATGTTTGATATGTTCATAAATTATTTTTTCATTAAAAATAAAAATCAAATTATATATTCAAGCACACAATACCCTAGCATAGGATCAGTGTCATGATAAGGACACGTGCTCCGTTTGAAATGTAAGTATTCTACATTCCACATTTAAGTATGAGCTATGTTTATCAAGACAACGTAGTATTATCATATCTATTTTGGGGGACTTTCTAAGTACCTGCAGGTTTAGGTCAAAATGAATTTTTTTTTTTAGATCAAATTTGTCCAGACTCAAATTCACATGATAAGCGCTTTGCAAACGGGCCTTACTGTCATATAAAAATGCCAACTTGGTAAAGACTGGACAATCTTATTTTTCAAAAGATGACTGAAAAATGCACATCTTCGCATTCCCAAAGCAACTCAGACAGTCCGTGCACACATTAAGTCTCCGATCACCACTCGCCACTTAATTCTGCCCCGTTGCTAGAAGGCACCATCTGTGCCATGCATGCATTCCTTTCAACACCCAGACCATGTCCACTGCAGCACTGGACGTGGTTAAAAGCTGGAGACATCGGGACGCACGAGGGGCGGCTGGACGGGACACCCCCTCGATGCGCCACGGCAGAGTCAGTCTTGCAGAACAAGGTGCTGTCTCGCCCACTGATGCTAATAGTTTGTAAACCTAAGAGAACCCAAGAGCCCAAACGACCCAGCCCACGGCTGCCACCGGCCACGTGAAGCTCCTGCTCTGTGCCTGAATGGGTGGCCTGGGCACCTGCACACGCTCAACTCAAACAGGGCTCTGCACAGAGGCCCCTGACATTCTAAGCTTCTGCAGACAGGGATCTCGTTGCCACAGCAACTTGAAGGGACCGCTCAGTAAATATAAAATAAAGTTAGCTGGGCTCTAGGCTCCTGTGGCCAGATGAATTATGCAGCTGTTGCCAGTAGCAAGACAGAAATTACATTTTGAGTAATGACACATCTTATAGCAATGAACCTGAGGCCTTGAAAAAGCAGTTGACCTGTGCTACAGGATGTATTCCTGTTTTTATTACAGTTATGTTGGCAGTTAGACGTGGACGAAACAGATGCTTCACCAATGCTACATGATAAAGGAGACAAAAGCCAGGAGATAAATTAGTAGGCGATTTGAAATTTTCAGCTGGGGTCTCCACTCCAGCTTGCCCCTCATTCACGTCATCTCCGATCGATCCCTATCACATTAGCCAAAACTGGCGTGACTCTGTTCAGACAAGAAACAACCCCTGCTCTTGAAAAGGGTTATTCTGATTTGCAATTTTGCTTATATGGAAAAAAAAAAAAAAAAAAAAAGCAGTGAACAAACCAGATAAAATCCTTGGCTCCAGGAAGCTTATATTCTGGAATTTTAAATTGAGTAAAGAAAGATTTCTTAGGCTTTCCAGACAGGGAAAAAAAAGGGGGGAAAAAAATACAGCTGGCCTTACACTTCTCCCTGACAATACTCAGTATTAAAAGACAACAAACCAATGCTGATTAAGTTCAAAGGAAAAAATGGAACACATCCAAGCAAAACTACGTCTCTCCGCCCATGCTCTTATCAGCACAGAGGGCTGGAAGACATTAACCAGATGTCAACCCTAGTTATTTCAGGGTAGCCACTGTGAGGCCATGTTACTTTTCTTTAATAGTATTACCTGAATTCATATTGGCCAGTGTCATCATTTTTACAAAAATAGTAAAGTTATGACTATTGTTAGGAACAAAAGGAAAAGCTTGGCAGTGTGCATCACTGGTATGGAAGAACGAGTTTACAAAAGAATGGTAAATTCAAAAAGAAGTTTCCTAAAATAAGCTTAACCTTACTCCATGGGATGACTCCTGGTACCTTCCTCTTCTATTCCAATTCATTGTTCTTGAACTCATTTTTGTTCTACTAAATTGATTTTAAGGTCCAATCATGGGTATTATCCCTAGCTGGAAAAAATACATGAGGTTCAATGAATGCAGATACCTTTTCAACCAAGGGATGCCAAAGAATGCCCAATACTTAACGGGTAGTTAATTAGCATGTTCTGATAAACAACTGACTGAGGGAACTCAGAGCAGCTTGAGGGCAGGGTTCACATTTTTTCAATTCTGGCTTCCCCAGGGCCAGGCATAGAGCAGCTCTGAATAACTGTTTGTGTTGAACTGAGGCCTCCTTCAGGAGGTGTGACGAATGAAACATTTTTCTTGGTTCTTGCTACGAAAGTATTCAAATTTGGGATTTTAACTGTAACAACTCGTATTTGCCCAGAAAAGCATGTTCTTTGGTGAAGACTTGTCTTCTCCCGGGAATTCCCACCTCAGCGTGCTGCGCCAGCGAGCACACGCCCTCCAGCAGGCACCTCTGCCTTCTAACCCCCGTCTGAAGACTTTTCTGCCCCACAGAAATGTTGTAGGACATGACAAGGCCTTTAGAAGCAACCAGAAAACACAGGCCTCTCTTACAAGGACCTATAACCTAAATCTTCACAGGATGAGGAAACGGTATCAACGAAACAACAGCCCTTGGAGACCCGAGGTCCGGCCCCTCCAGTGCCGTCTTACCCGCCGAAGGCCGCGGCCAGGAGGCGAAGACGCGCGACCCAGGAGCGCCATTGCGGGCGGAACGCGGCCGGAAACGCAGTGAGCCGGGCCGGACGCCGGAGGTCGAGGGGC